AACATAGATCATTTTAAGTACTATGAACAAAAGTAGAAAAACAAAAATGATGCATATAATACCACTTAAAGTTAGTCTTTGCAAGATTTCCACTCTGTTTTGAGAGGGCAGAATTGACTCCTGTCAAAACATCTCCAGAAAAAAACTACTGTATATGAAAGTACAGTTTATGCCTAGCATGGAAAAGTTGTTATGTTTATTTATTTAAACCCATAAGAGACAAAGATAATTCCAAAGCAAAAACTGGACAAAAACATTTGTTTCCAACAGGGCAAAAAGGATGAAGCCTGCTAAAAGTATCTGTAATGGGCCAGCCTTTTACACACTAATCATTCAACACAAGATTGGTCAAAAATCCAGCCATGCTGAGAAAAAAAAGATTAATAATAATAACAATAATTGATAGTTATTGATCTCACAAATTTATATTGATATTGATCTCAGAAATTTACCTCTGCATTTAACCCATCCCCTTGGAGAGCAGTGGGCTGCCATTGTGGGGCTTCCAGTGAGCAGTGTGGGATTAAGGGTTTTGCTTATTGAAGGGATGAAGAAGCATTCATTCAAATATTAGAGAAGTTTATGTATTCATTTTATCATATATTGAAGATAAAGATTTGTATATCTGAGGAAAGTTTTTTTTAAAATCAAATTAAGATGATTAAACCTTTGGTTTTTGAATTAAATGATTTGGATAAATTTTTTCTTATGCCAATTAACAGTTCCATTTCTGACATGAACATTACATTTCCACCTTTTAAAGGGTTTTTAAAAGGAGGCTTTTTATGCATGCAAAAGTAAAACACATTTAGGGTGAAGTGAACTAACAATAAAAAGAAAAATGTCATGTATTAACATTTTTGGTTTGTTTTTGTTTTTTTTGGTTCCCATAAACTCCAAAAAGCTCCAGATTGTCACAAATGAACAGCTTTTCAGAATGCCTTAAAAAAAAAAAAGGTGAAACAAATATAAAAAAACTAAGTAGCTACAAGGACAAAACATCCCTGAACAACTGAGCAGCTTTATTGCTGCAGCTTTTAGTACAAAAGTTTACAAACCCACATTATACAGCTGCGTTGTTCTTCATGCATGCTGCATATCTGACTAGCATAATCAGTATGACAATGTTGTGGGCCTGGAAAATTAAAACAAATACAAGTACAAATGTTTCTATTCTTCTAATCACAATGATTAAGAAATGCTCTGTACGATTTTTTTAGATCTTAGATGCTAAAAACTGGGTCTTCAAAGCCGCTTTAGCAAACAAACACAATTGTACATGATTTTCTTATTTAATCAAAACATCTGGAGTTTCTTCTCCAATGATTGCACTGGAAATTGTCTCCAAACACAAACAAGGTAATTGTTGCAGAGGAAAAAGTACCTTCCAGCTCCTTGATATAAAAACTATACATTTTATAGATTAGTGGGAGGAGTTTATTCAGCTGCTGACAGAAGCTCTTTAGATGATAATTGAGTTTGCAATTATTAAATGCTATAATGGAAATTGCAGCATAAAACCTATACTGAGGCAATCAATGCACAAGATAGAGATAATTAATGCAAGACAAAAAAAAACCCATCATTGCTTCCTTTTCATTTTTTTGCCATTATATATTGCCAAGAACATTGCACACTGATGATAACTGTGTTTGAAACATATGGGGCAAAAAAACACGGTGAAAACGCATCTCCTTACTTTCACAAAGTGTCCATTTCTCTCATCCATCTGTGTTTCTGTGTGATGTTACCCATACCGCTTTGGTCTAAATCATTCCTCCCTTAAAATTTTATTTCCTCTGATTCCTTAATAACAGCAATATCCGTCTCTCTCTGCTGAGCTAAGTGGCTTAGCCTTTCTCTTTTATCTCCCCTAACCTTCCAGAATAAAAAGAAGCATTTTTTTGCCCATTTAGCCCTTCTAAGCCTTCTTTACCTTACTGATACTGATTTATATACATAAATGCACACTAAAACACCTCTCTTCTAACTAAGCAGTTGGAGAATTGCTGAAATGAGTTTGTGAGTCGGTGCCTGTCAGTATAGAGCATGACATGCTGAAAGCTTTATCTCTTTGTTCTACTCATCCTTCGAAGGGTCAGCAAGACCTCATCTCAGTCTGTTACGAAAACAGAAGAAAAAAAGCAAAGGACGGAAATGTAACACCCAAGAAATAAGGATGAAGAGTTCCTCACATTCAACCTCTTTGCTTTGTTTTTTTCCTCTTTTGCATCTTTTGAGGTGTGGGTCTAAAGACGAATGGGTAATAATAAAGGGGATTTCACAAGAGAGAAAAACGAAAGTAAAACTGAGGGTTAAAAAAAGAATGGGCCAAAATGAAAAGCATTGAAAAAAATTTAATGAAACAATAAAAATAGAAGCATATGATTATTTTGATTTGAAAAAAACAACTACAAAGAATTACACTGACTGTATGTCCTAACCAGCAAAAGATGCTTATGGCAAAACATTCACATATTACTAAATGTTAAGTTATGCATATGCATGTATAGAGTCTTGTGCCTCTTGTCATTCAAACAGATCACTGAATTTGGTGACTGTTTCTTTGAATGGTCTGTTGTGATTTTTATCAACGATCCCCAGTTAGCTCATCAGGAGCCCACACTTAGGAGGCGCTACAGCAGCCAAATAATTGATCATCCTCTGCTGCAACTGCAAACTGTCTCTACAGGACGTCAGTAATCAGTCTTTCTTTATAGCTTGTCTTCAGAATAAGAAACATAATGATCTACTGTCAATTTGATGTTCTCTTTTATTGCCCGAAATTAGCATTACACATACTAATATCCCTGCAGAGGTATTAAGATGGACAACATTTGCTCTCGTCTCCCCCTTCGTCAATTTGAAATATTTAGTTCTACTCTACTTGGTGCACAGATTCTTACAGCACCACATTAAAACCGTCAACAAATACCTAAGGTTTATGTAAAAAAATCAAGTTAAACAATGTCACAATTGCATTCTTAAGTGTTTTTAATAAGGATAACATACTATTAGTATCAAACTAAAAAGTAAAAACTGCTTGATTTATAAAGTAAATGTAGTATTTTATCTTACAGATTCATTGAGAAATTGACAGCATGGCTGATAGAAACTTAAAAGATCGTATGTTTTTTTTCTAAAAAAGATCAAGATTCTTTGATGAATTGTCAAAGTGAAGGAGTCTCAGTTCTAGTTCAGCCCAAAAGCCTTTTAATTTTACCATCACGTTTCAACAAGACTATTCTAATGTGAACATTTGGAAGCAGGGCCAGCTGTTTGCTAATCTGAAAGATGTAAAGCATAAATTAACAAGGGTTCTAAGGTTGTCATACCAAATATGTTTAATTAATCACCCACCTGAATTTGAAAGATTAAAAACACAAATAAGCATATAAAGTAATGAAAATACATTCGTTTTCTCTATCCTGAGAAGCTGGGAGCATGAAACCATACACTATTGTATTTCACTACAACAGTAAAAAAAAAAAATATATATATATATTATATATATATATATATATATATAAATTTCTTTTTTATACTGAGGGCATAATTGTTAGCTTCGTGCATGTGCTACTCATGTTCAATGTGGGAACATGAGGAGATTCTCTCTGTTCTCTGACTGTAGAGAAGGGCTGCAGCTGCTGCGTCTGAGTCCCTTTGTTTTGGAGGAGGGAAGAGCTCGCTCACTACCTGGTCACTAGCAGTAAACTCAGAGCAATTTGTGCGCAATGTGTCTTCACAAAAGCCTCCAACAAGACAGGAAAAAGTTGCTGGATTTGTTTCAAGTAGCTTTTTGGGGAAAAAAATAAAATAAAAAATGTCTATATGGGTCTGAAAAGGCTCTAAATAAAGGGACAATATTGTTAGGTTGGAAAAAATGCAAAAGTGGTATCGTTGTTAGTCTAAAAAAAAATTAATAATCCTGAAAAGTGGAATATTAAAACATAAATTTAATTCTAGTTCCATAGTATAACCATAAAAGATAGAATAAATCTATTACGTTTATAATTAGTTTAAGAGAAAATCGGGATTTTGCTTTTAATATTTAGAACTACCAGATATTGGAAATCAGTCGCAACATTCTGACGCTTCAACTCAGCATGAATTCTTGACTGTGCATTCTGATTTCTCTGCATAGCTTTACAGGAAACTATCACACAGAGAGGTGACGATCTGTACAAAGGCAGCTGCAGTGGTAGCAACTAGAGTAAAACAGTAACTGTACAGTAAAAAATATTTGCAAGAAATGTAGTGAAAACTTGGTGCTTAAAATAAATAATACAGTGGAGAACAGCAAGTGGGCAGTGTAGTTATAAGGTTCACAAGGTTACAGGCACTGATAGCTAATACAGATAAAGGATTTAAAACAACTGAAACTATACTTTAGGAATAAAAAAAAGGTTAAATATGTTTTATGAACTGCTTGAATTTAGAATCATTAGATGCAAATTTAGGATGTGAATCCTCATCCATTGTGTAACTACAATTCAGGAGGTTTAATGCATTGTAATTACTACCCTGACTGTGCATAAAAGCACATTTAGGTGACAAGTCATTTCCTGACTTTTCCTTAAATCTACAGTCTCACCAAAGACTGGCGACGGTGTTATATGGTTTTTACCGGTTAAAAGGTGATCTGAGCATTTTAAAGAAAGCAAACAAACACTTATAACTTGCCTTGGAGAATTACTGAAGCAACTCATATTGCTTTCCTTTGACATAAGCCAGTTATGACTCACTCAATATTGGGTTTGTCCCAGAGGATGTGTGACCATTAAAAATTTAGAACCAAATAGCTGGAAATAAGAGAAGGGTTTAAATGGATAGAAACGCTGCTTCAGCACAGGTATTCCACAAAGACTCCTAATGGACTGTTAGAGTCAAGACAATGTTACTAGATATGTGTTGCATAGAAAAGAAAACTATATGCAGCTGAGGAGAGACGACACATCCTGCAGTGAAACAGGGATAAAACTGCAGATATGATTACAGACCGTGCAGTGGTTCTGCTGCTGCAGCAAGGTGGGCACATCTCCTCCAACGGGCATCTGCTTGGCCAGCTCCTCGTCCTTCATGCAGATCCATCGCCACAGCTCTTCAAGGAGTCCCAGAAGACGTGACCAGCGCTCAGCACTCGCCTCCAGATGGGCCCTGGTGATGAACATCCCATGATTTAGTTTTTGTGCTTGCTCCGCTTTTATGCTATTCTTGGTATCTGATCCTGTCAGCTGTTGTCAGCAAATGATCCATTTTTGAATTACCTTTTTATGTCATTTTATTCAAATCCATTGAGAAGAAATAACGATTTAGCCTGCTTGATATTAATGAAATAAATTTGAAATATATACTGCAAGACTCTACCTGAATCGGTCAAAAAATCAGCAGATGAAAAATCAAGGTAGATTAACAGAACGCATCTGTAATAGATTTATTTGTTGTTGGTGCTATTTTAGAGACGCAGACTTACGTAAGCAAATGAAGAAATCTTTAAATATTCTCTCTAAATGTCTGAATATTTACAAAAAGCTATTTAAATCCTGAATTCTAATGATTGAAGACAGGCTTGTGGGTGCATTGAGTGGATATTTCACTGTAGTCATCTTCCAACTGTGTAGGATGGAGCATCGGTGAATGCGTGCTGAAAAGCAATTCTTCTTTTCCTCCTCTCCTTTGGGCATAATGTGTCTGAGCACAGTGAGAGGAGAACAACCACTACGACCTGACAAGCTCTCTTTAATTACTAACGTGCTACAATTAAGCCATAAAGGGGATGTATATCATTAAACACACACTGTATCCCTCCTCCTAAGCGTGCAGTAAACCTTTTTTTTATTTAGTGTTGCTTGATTTTAATGCAAAACATCCAGTCAGAGTCATGTTTCTGGAATAAGCCCAGTCTAAATGCAGATTGCCCTCCAGCAGTTTTTATTTCTCTCCCTCTAAACTTTCCTCAGCCTCTTTACAATTGAGGCTTTGTTGCTCTACTTCTTTCAACCCACCCCCACTCTTAGCATGGACTTGAACGTCTCCATCTGGCTCCTGTCATCTCCACTTTTACCCTTACTTTATTCACCATCAGCACTTGTGCACATTAATGATCTTTATATATGCCAGGTCTATGACTGGCACTGTATTTCTGTTCTCAGATGTTCAATGCATCACAGTGTTTTGTTTTGTTTTTTCATTCCAAAGCAGGCAAATATAACAATAGCCTGCAGTTTTGTAAAAATAAAAATTATTTTGCTTTTTTTTTTCCATAAAGCTGAAAGGTTTGAGGATTGTATAAACATACAAACACTCAAGGTTGCTTTTACTACACATAAAATAAAGAGTGGCGTCCTTCATTCAGGTTTTGTGCTTTCTAAGTGTCTTGAATGTTTTGTTGAAACTCTGCTTTTGAATCTTAGAGAAACCATGATTTGTTTTGTTGATATTTCATCCATCCTTGAGCCTCACTGATGTGGGCAGTCACAACAACAACACAAAGCAATCTATTCAGTTTATATACAATGACTTACAAAAACTGCTCAACAATTTCCATGTTCAGTCATGCTAAAAAAGTAAAATTCAATGCATTTTGGACCAAAAACAAAACAACACACAGTTGTAAAGAGAGAGTAAATTATACATCGTTTTCAACTCTGTAATAAATAAAAACCTGGAAAACCAACCTTCTCCTCCGTCCCTAAACGAAATGTAACGTCAATAACTGCCTTGAGAAATTATCCATTCAGTAAATAGAAACCTGCCGTAATTTAATCTCAGAATAAAGGCAGATTGTCTGTAAATGTTAGAAAACATTAGTTCTCTAACATCCTATACACCACTGTTTATGCTCTAAAAACATTCTAAATGACTTTGTTTCGAGTAAATTCTGGATGCTACCCACTCAGGACACTTGGAATACATTGGACGAGCAGTATGGAGGAATATTGACACGTTTTTGTGGACTTTTATGGACCTTTCTGCCTTGGGCACCATAGACCTCCATTATTTGAATGTCAGCAGACAGCAAGAAGCCTCCCAGATCTCCAGATGCATTTGAGATATCAAAAAAGTACTCCAGAGTTTTGTTCAGCATGGGGGTGAGTAGAAAATGAAGGCTAATCATGTTTTGGGTGTACTATTCCTTTAAGGTAATAGTAGAAGAGCCATAGGAGGAAGAATTTATTAACCGGACAACTATGCACTACTTTGTGATGTACTATGACATAGCATCTCTGTAACATATAATGAGGTTTATAGTTAAGGAGTATGATTCATTTAGTACAGCGGTGCATGTGCAAATGCATAAAAAAGACTAAGTGCTCTAAATCCAATGGATTGTGTTTTTTGTGCTGCAACAAATCACAATGAGGAATAAAAGTTTATCTCTGCAGAATAATCTTTTGCAGGAAATGGCTAATGATGCTTCTGTCATATTCTATAAAAGCTTAGGATAAGAATAGCCTCATCAGGACTTTTTTCTTTTTTTTTTTGTTAAATAACTTTGGATGCTAGACAACAAGGAACCAAACTCCTAAAAATAAACATTATATATTAGTGTTAATGAGCTTTGCCTGGTCAAAGCCCTCCCAACTAGCAGCCAAGTGTGAATAGAGATGAGTGCAGTTACTCGTTAGCAGCACCTCATTGTGGTTTGCATTAGAGACTGACACGGGAGTGGATTTTCACTCCTGTCCCGTCCCACTCCCACAGAAAAAAATTGTGTCCCGTCCCGATCCCGGGCCAGAGTAGAAATCTAAATCCTGTCCCGTCCCACTCCTGGTGAAATTACTCCCACTCCCATCCCGCTCCCATTCAGAATGACTCCCGCTCCTGCACCACTCCCATTCTTGTTGTTTTTGAGCGCGGGTGAAAAACTCAGAGCGGAAGTTACTATTGGTTTGCTCCCGCTCCCGTCTGCTCCCGTTAATGTTTAATCCTGTACCGTCCCAATCCCGTTACTAATACTAATACTGACTCCCATCCCACGGGAATACCACGGGAATCCCGTGACCCGTGGGATTCCCGAAAAAATTTCAGTCTCTAGTTTGCATGTAATGTAATCACAGTAAACAGAAAGGGCAGCACAAGAAATGGCCCCACAGTGCGCTGGAGCACTTTTCAAATTAGAAACAGCAGATTCATTAAAATAAACCAAAGGAAATAAGCTTCTCAGAACAGATCTCTTATATCTTTCTCAACATATAAATCAGGTTTCTTTTACAAACAATCCTGCTTTAACAAAATATTTTAACAAATTAAAGCAACACTGTAATTTTTACAACTGGTAACTTTCACCAAAGGAAACTGTCTCTGTGTTTTGGAATCTGATAGGAGGCCTCTTTGGTGCAGCAAACTGAGAAGTCATTAAGGTACTTGAAAAGATAAAACCACATTCACCCCTCTAGATTAGATCCTACATCAGAGAACCAGAGAATGTCTGATCAGGGTAGTGTCATATTTGTTTTGTTGCTAAACTGTTATTAGCTGTTGTGTTTAAGGGAAGCTCAGACTCTCTCTAGGTCACATGATCCATCCGGACAAATCCATCTGAAGTTACATAGTTAGATCTTTGAGAAAGGCAGCCAAGATAAGGCATTGATGCCAACCAGATTCTCTAACTGAAAAATCTGTTAATATATCCAAATTGAAGCTAGTAGACTTGGGTCTACAGTTATACAATGTTGCTTTAATCAGTCATGCATCCATGTATCCCAAATATCGAAATTATTTCATGCATCTTTTTAGAAAACGATTTTTGAGAACAAAAAAGAAAAATCAGCAAAATGCCCTTATTTAGTGCATCAAAGTCCGATTCAGGTGCATAAAGAAAAAATCAAATTGGGAGAATAAATAAGTATGAACCTATATTATTTATAAGTCTTGGTGTAAGCTACCAAAGTAGCAGAAAAATGTTTAAAGACGAACTTTTTATTTATGGGGCAGCACCGTTTGCAGCTTATAGAGTTTCTCCTGCTAGTCAAGCTAAAACTCTCTATTTTACAGGTTCTTTAGGTTTTATGGTTCTGATGATTCTCAAAGTGGATATATTTACACCTGCCCTCAGATTTCTTTGTATTTATAACAAAATATACCCCCAATATTCACCTTTCATGTTAAAAAACAGTTCAACACAGCCAATGTGATAACATTACAGTTACTGGCCTTTTGCTTCCAAAACGGTTAACGCAACAATTTCCCATTCATATGCGAAATTATATTCTAGCTGCTTTTTTTTTTTTGCACATGCTTCTCCCCTGGAGATCATACAAAGTCCTGGAAATGGATTGCATTGCATTCATCTTCTCTATCAGATGTTTATATGATGCATCTCCGGCTGTAGCTGCATTCCTTACAGTAGCAGCTGTAAGACTGTTCCAGGCGACACATTACACTGTCAGATGATCAACCTGTCTCAAAGTGCGACTTAAGGCCATGACCAAAGATTCCTCCAAGATTTTTCTGCAACCCCTGTGATTCGCCTGCGACAGCAGAATATACCATGAACTGGAACAGTGTAACAATGAAGAAGAAAGAAATAAAATAAAAACTGCACTCTGACATTTAATAGAAATAACAGCTTTGTGGGAGTTTTTGGGAGTAATACTACACATAAAACATTCTTTGAATGCATACTTGGATATCTTTTTTTCTATATGTTACATAATCTCTCTTATTTATATATTTGTTTTGTTTAAGTCAGGGCAGATCACAACTTTCTTGGCTTGATCAATCACCAGTCAGTAGAAATCTGAATTTGGATTCAAATTAAATGCTATTAACAACATAAACTAAAAGGCTTCAAAACTGGTAACAACTTTTAACTACTTGATTTGTCCTTTTTCTGTTTAACAGGCACATTTGAAAGACTTCTATTGTTAACTAACCCTGTTTACCAGTATATTTGCTCAGTGGTTACCAAGCAAAACATCACACAACATATCAGAGAAATTCTTTGAGGGAAACTATTTGGCTGTCAGCATACTCCATGTGCTTTCTGCCTTATTTGGTTACATAACTCACATTTTACCTAATTTTGTTGTTGGCAAGATTTAAATTTCTGCTGAACAATGAATCCCAGTCAGATAGCTCCATGTTTTTGCCTCTGTGGAGCCTGCTAAAGGCTTCTTGCTGCACAGGCCTCTCAGTGAGGACTTTGCATGTTCTTCTATTATCTTAATGATGTCTGGACACGGTTCTAATTACCGGATGTTGGCAGATTTGGCCTTGAGGTCACTCCAGCGTTGGTTCATGTCATCCAGTCTATGTTGGAGGAACACGGCTTCATCCGAGTTGCCCAGAGCTTTAACCATCTTGGATTTGTTCCCGTCGACACTCTTGTAGATGTCATTGTGGGCGTCAATCTCTGCCTGGATGTCCTACAAAATACAGAAAATAAAGGATTTTCTCAATTTAAAAAAAAAAACAAGGACTATTACGCATGCAAATGTGCCACCTTAGTTTAGCCCAGATTGGCGGGAGTGTACTTTCCTTACAGTTAAAGCTAATAGAAGCGGATTATCATGAACTGATAAGTATGGAGTAATTTTATGAGACACTGCACACATATTCACAAGGGAGAAAGTTTCAATTTTCATGGGTACTCCACATGGGATTACGACTTAAAGGGGTTTAGCTTTTACACTTTTTATTAAATTGGAGGTTCCACTCAAACCAGATGCCGCATATTTTATTTTTATGGTTTCATAAAGGTGAAAACAGTTTTGCAAACAAGTGCTCTATTGCTCATTTAGAGAGTGGCTACAGGTCAAATTGTCATGTTAGATCCTGTGCATCTGCAACAGACAATCACCATGAACAGTTAGCTGAACACAGCAGGCCTTTAACACAACCAGTACGCAGAGTGTTTGTGTGAGAATATAGACCCACAAGGGAAGCTGACGAAAGCAGAGGATTCTGTCAAACGTTTTATTTTTAGATGTGTAAAACTGTTCCATTTTCTTTTTTCTCTCCTGGCCCTCTCAGCTGGGACTCCATTCTGCTCAGCTCATTTCAAGAAAAGATAAAGACCCCAAATACAGTATGGATGGGAGTTTAAATCGCCTGGAACCACTGAGGCAGATCTGCAACTGGTAGAAAATGAGTATAGATACAAAAAGTAGAAGTAAGACATATAGTCTTGGTACATTGCAGAACTTAATATGACATAATGATGGACACAGAGGAAATCTGGCCATCTTTACCAGATCTTTATACTTCATTAGCAATAACCTTTCACTTATGAAAGATTAACATAAAAAACTTATTTTCAAATAAAGTAACAAGTGAAACATTTTATCCTGAATCCTAACATCAACAGCCAGTGTAAGTTTGCATTTCCTCACCAATTGCTGTTACTAACCATTTCATTATAGCATAAAGTGAATGGGATTGATCACTTTGTGTAATTTCAGATAAAGGCTCAGAGGCACACCCTGAAGTGAAGTCAAAGCTGATGGCAGTCACATCATTACACCCCCTAATTGTTACACCATAACTAAATGTCTAAAAGCATGGTTGAAAAACAAAAACACAAATACAAATAGTCAAGGAAGTAAATTTACCAGACTTTACTAGAGAGCAGTCAAATATTCACAACATTACAGTAGGGCTGAAACAATTAATCAGGTTAATCATGAATAATCGATTATTGAAATAATCCTCAACTAATTGAGTAAGTGAGTAATCATTAAATAGAATATTGAGACTCTAAAACATGCCTTTAGCTGATAGAGCAACCCACTTAGAGCAGCAATTATACCAAAATTGGGGGAAAAAAAGAAAAATCTTTCATTTTGCATTTAGGATAAAAAACATTTTCATCTGTCAATATGTTCAACCGAGAACTTGTCAAGTGGAAAAGTTCTAGTTTTACCTGGTTCATTTTTAATAGGTATTTTTTAAGGAACCTTTGGCTATCCAATTATTAACCTTTCAATTCGAAAACTAATCGACAGATTTGTTGATTAGCTAATTAATCATTAGTTGCAGCCCTACATTACAGTAAAATCTGAGGTTTCAACCTTAGTTCCTCATAAAACATGGTTAAAAATGTAAAAAATTAAATCCATTAGAGGTATCAAACAAGAATAACGGAAGGATTCATAAAATACATTTTCTGGAGTAAAGCAAAAGTCCAGCTCTGTCCTGCATTCTCTTAATTAACTGATTATCAATAGACATCTAATTGAGGCCATGCAAATCCCACTACAGTGATCTGCAAGGATAATAATCTATAAACGTGAATGCTTCTTAAAGGTCAGAGAAAAAGAACTGAGACGGAGTGAAGATGCAGAAACAAAGGCCTTTAGAAAGAGAGATGGAAAGCTAGGTGGACAGAGTTAAAGTAAGAGGCAGAAAAACACCCTGAAACTAAGCCAACTGGCTACGTTTCAAGTCATTACCCAAGTGCTTCCCTTTCCTTTTTCCTTTGCACTTCAGTTTCCACATAAAAAATATGACTATTCACACACAAACACACAGATGATTCAGACCCAGGACAGAACGCAGACTGTGAGGGCATACAGAGGCAAACATATTAATTTACAAAGCAGCCTTTAAATTTTATTTCTCCCGGTGAATGACTGCTATGAGCCCATGGTTTATGTGTGTCAATGTGCTTCCTGAGGGACTTGGAATACAGTGACAAATCATTTTCTATTCACACACATACATAGAAAAAAAAACATCTATGTCAGAAACTGGACTCTGTTTAGAACCATATGAACGTCATCAATGACCTACTGACTAACATGTTGGGTTTTTAAATCTAAATAGTTAAAGATCAACACACACAAAACTAAGTGTATGTCTTGCTTTAAGTGTTACAGGTTTGAGGCAGTAGTCATATTAATCTGGTATGTTTGTTTTGTTTTTTTGCTCCTGGTTGTAAATGCAAGTTACAATTTAAAAAAAAAATGTAATGAAAAATTTGAAGGTCAATCTGTCCTTGGTTTGGTTATTTAATTATGTCTAATGTTTTTGACTTTAAAAGTGCACCAATAACACTAGTTTCGGTAAAATGCACTGTTCCAGGACGGAAAGAAAGAAGCAGTATAGAAAGTATTCAAATAGATAGTTATCATTTTATGTTCCAAGTTATTATAAAATTATTTCATCCTAGTTTCAGTTAAGGGGAGGTTTTAATAATTTCACCAAGTCACATTAATTACCACTAACACCCAAAATTTGCTCTGAATTAAATCTTTTTAACTAACAGTAGTTTAAAGCCATTATAAAATTAGTATTTTAAATCAAAGCTTCCCCTGGGAGGAAGCTACGTGTCAAGCTTGTTCATTTGCCACAGCCATAAAAGGCTTATTTATATATATTGGCTCCGCTGCCATGTATGAACAGAGACTAAGCTAAAATTTCAAAAGAAATCTAATAATGACAATACTGATAAAAGTTTTTTTGCAGCATCTACGAGGCTGCTGCATGCAGAGAACTACACATATAGTTCCCTTCTGCTTGTAATGAGGATGCAAATATCTTCAAAACCTTTCTTATCACCGTAAAGCTCAAATAGAGCTACATCTACAGTAGAACTTGGTCCATTTGATGGCTGAAGACAACATTTCTGTTTTTCCAAGGATTCCTGTGATTATTTCAAATTTGCTGCTGTAACAACACCTTTTTTTATGTGGTATCTAAATGTGGATCTTATTGACGTGGCTACTTTTAAAATGCCAACAGTACCTACATAGTAATACCTAACCTATTACTGGAATCATTGAAACCACTCATTGTAAAGCTAATTTTTTCTGCTAAAGAAAGAAAATAAAAAAGAAAAATGCTAATAGATTTGCATGCCTATAAGAGGACATTTTATAGAGGTGCTGGACATTCTCCTACCCTTCAAGATCTCATAATTATAACCTAATCCAGATTTTAAGCACATCTGCAGATATGAGGAATCAAATGGCTAATTGTTTAACACAATTAGGGTGTGATTTTTATTTTTATTTTTTTTTATAAAACCTTAAATACTTAAAGTGAACCAAAAGATATATGTAGGGGGTCATAGTTGTGATGATTTAATCACAAAAACATAAAAGTATCACTTTTTTTAAATACATATTAAAGTTCATTGAAGCTGTTTTTTAGAAGCAATTCATGAGCACTAAAATAAAGCAGGTTTAGTTTTGGAAAAGAATGGCCAACTTTCACCAGAAAGGTCCTGTAATAACAGCTGGAGCATTATTAAAATTACTTTGTGAGATAAAAATAAAGAAAACTGTTAATAGTGATGTATATTAAGTTCTGCATTAGCAAAAGCCCAAGCACAAAAAAGGAAATATTTATTTATACCTGTTCAAAGTTTTTGAGCAGTTCATGCAAACTGAAGTTTAAGCCAATCATCTTGAGAGTTTTCTGTGGCTCCTCCCACTTCCGTTACCCTCTACATCCTCTCAATCCAAGTGGTCATAGATTAAATACCCAAGAGAGCTTGGTTGGTCCTCCAGTGGTTATTGCCAAAATATAATCCTCCAAGATCCGAAATGAGATCATCAGTAATTCCCAGATCTGAACTACTTTGGATTTCACTAAAAATCCACTCTGCGTTTATAAAAGGTTTTGGCATAAAAGGGTCCAACTCCGGTCGCAGTCCAAAAAAAGGAAGTTTACACATGTGGCAGCACCTCTGTATATGTGCTCGCCCAATCCCTCCCCATGGCCGTAGCAGCATCCTCCTCTAGCGGGCATGTAGCTCAGTTGAGAGGGTTAGAGTTGTCCTGCAGCCATGCTGGAGTTTGGACTTCAAGACTTCTGCCACTGGAGGTTTAATAAAGTTACAGCTGGAGGCTGGCACTTGACTCCTCTGGCCACGAATGAAGTGCTGAAAGTGTAGGAGAAAATCCCAGCAATCTCGGGTGGTGGTCTGCAGGGCGGAGATAACAGCTTGTCTTTGAGGAACAAGCCGACTGCTGAGAACCTGCGAGTTTTTCAGGTTTGGCGATTCTCCTTCCACCCCTGATGCTACCCTGCCTTCTCTTTACTTCTGGGCATGAAGGAAGGCATTTACACCATGTCCTGCAGTCCAATCCAAGCCAGGGTCGAGGCAGTTGTTCTCAATTACTATGATAAAAGCACTGTATTCCTGCCAGCTATGCAACCCCTGGCACTACACGGGGAGAGCTGTCGGTACCAAGAAACAGAGTCTGCTACTTCCCTCCCCTCACTGCAGGTAATGAATGCTCAAACAGCTACTTCAGCGTCTCCCTCGCTAGCTGCCCGTCAGGTCTCCAGCTTCAGTCTGGTCTCGCTCCATCACACCCTCCTAATCACTACCATGACTGGGCCACTTAGTCAAAGAATGCCTTCTTTTTGTTGGAGACACATGTTCGCAGTGAGCTGCCTCAAGGCTCGCCGTCCCAAT